GACCTTCGGCCGACCAGGCGGCGGGCGTTTCTGGTAGGAATATCATTGCAGCAGGGGACGAGTTAACACCTCAGCGGGAACTTCGGCCCACCAGTCGGCGGGCGTTTCTGGTAGGAATATCATTGCAGCAGGGGACGAGTTAACACCTCAGCGGGACCTTCGGCCGACCAGGCGGCGGGCGTTTCTGGTAGGAATATCATTGCAGCAGGGGACGAGTTAACACCTCAGCGGGAACTTCGGCCCACCAGTCGGCGGGCGTTTCTGGTAGGAATATCATTGCAGCAGGGGACGAGTTAACACCTCAGCGGGACCTTCGGCCGACCAGGCGGCGGGCGTTTCTGGTGGCGCTCGCATTCTATGTACGCACACGGACAGAGTGCGAACACGGAGTGTGGGCGTATATAGATTGTGTGCGTACATGGATTGCGTGCGTACATGGATTGCGTGCGTACATGGATTGAGTGCGTGCATGGTTTCCGTGGGTATACAAAGTGTGTGCGTGTGCCTTTACGGCATGCGTTGATTATGATTGATTATTTGTTATCTAGCGTGCATTTACGGCATGCGTTGATTATGATTATGACCGTCGAATGCGTAATATGTCTCTAAATGTACGTTTGCTTCTCGACCTTTCAAAGAATCATAACGCTCTCATGAATAACAATTCTAATACCTCCGTATAACATGTGAGCCTACATGGCGTGAGCCCACATCGCGTGAGCCCACATGGCGTGAGCCCACATGGCGTGAGCCCACATGGCGTGAGCCCACATGGCATGAGCCCACATGGCGTGAGCCCACATGACGTGGGCCCACATGGCGTGAGCCCACATGGCGTGGGCCCACATGATGGCGGCGCAACATGATTGACCTCGCTCCTACATGCGGGCGCTTCATGCCTGCCCTGCTGTGTGGCGCTGTGGCGGTGCTTGTGTGGCTGATAGTGGCACACTAGACTGCCACTGCCATGCCACTGCCATGCCACTGCCATGCTACTGCCCTGTTACTACCCCGCCACTGCCCTGTCACTGCCCTATCACTGCCCCGCCACTACTTTGCCACTGCCATGCTACTGCCCTGTTACTGTCCTGCTACTGCCCTGATACTGCCCTGTTACTACCCCGCCACTGCCCTGCCACTGCCCAGCCACTGTCATTTTATCTCGCGGGTTGGAACTTTTTTTTTCACCAAATATCGCGGCGTCCTTTAACTGCCAGGATATATATAATTTTATAATAATTTTTATGCATGAAGTTAAAATGCTTGGTATGGAAAATAGTAAACGTTTTTGATATATTTTAAAATATACATCTCCCAAAACGTGCTGGGTGCTGGGCGCAGCGAGCAGATATCCCAGCAGGCAACGTCATCTGACAAACAATTAATTAATCTGTGACAATCAGACAAACAACAATTAATCTGTGATTTCAACGTTGAAACAACGTCGAAATGTACGAAGTTGTGACAAACAACGCTATTTCAACGTTGAAAAACAACGTCGAAAGTTGAAAAAATTACTTTGATTCACTTTTCAAGCTGGACTAATATTCAACGCTATTTATACGTCGCGCAGTAAGTTGATTCAACCTGACATTGCCTGCAGGGATGCTTCAGTGTTGAACTTTTGTTTGTTGATAAATATGTTGAAAACATAAATAATTTTGTGTGGTATTTCCCTATTCAAGTTCATTATGATGATAGTGATGATATTGTGTGACCTACGGGTTATCTGTGATGGTATATAGCATGGCATGAGGGTGGTATGTGGCATGTCATGTGGCAAGACATATGACAGAAACATGGCGTGACATGTGACAAAATTAAACATGGCGTGCATGGCATGTGACGAGAACGCGTGACATAACATGTGGCGATAACATGTGGCTTAACATTTCTCGAGAACATGTCGCACATGTGACAAGAACATGTGGCATAACTTGTGGCGACAACATATAACATGTGGCGATAACTTGTCGCATGATATGTGGCGAGAACATGTCACGGCATGAGAAAAAATAATATGGCATAGCAGCATTGAAAAATGCAGCATTGCGTTGCGATAACATGCGGCATGTGGCGAGAATATGTCGCATGTTGACTATGAAGAGAAATTGCTACATGATATGTGATGATGCGGGGTGCCCGGCATGCGGGTGCTGCTGTGGTGGGCGACGGAGAAGATAAACAAATGTGTGGGGAAGAAATGTGTTGTAATAAATACATTAAACTAAACCATAGTTGAAATAATTGAGTGGGTAGAGGGGCAAGTAAGGGGAGAGTGCAGGTATATAGAGGGTAGGAGGAGGGGAGAGAACAGAGGGGCAAGTGAGGGGAGAATGCAGGTGTAGAGGGTAGGAAGAGGGGAGAATAGAGGGGAAAGTGAGGGGAGAGTGCAGGTGTAGAGGGTAGGAGGAGGGGAGAATAGAGGGGCTAGTGAGGGGAGAGTGCAGGTGTAGAGGGTAGAAGGAGGAAAGAATAGAGGGGCAAGTGAGGGGAGAGTGCAGGTGTAGAGGGTAGGAGGAGGGGAGAATAGAGGGGAAAGTGAGGGGAGAGTGCAGGTGTAGAGGGTAGGAGGAGGGGAGAATAGAGGGGAGAATAGAGGGGAAAGTGAGGGGAGAGTGCAGGTGTAGAGGGTAGGAGGAGGGGAGGGTGGAGGGGCAAGTGAGTGGAGAGTGCAGGTGTAGAGGGTAGGAGCTGTCTCTTATACACATCTAGATGTGTATAAGAGACAGCACATGGTGAGCCCACATGGCGTGATGCCACATGGCATGAGCCCACAAGGCGTGAGCCCACAAGGCATGAGCCCACATGGCGTGAGCCCACATGGCGGGAGCCCACATGGCGTGAGCCCACATGGCGTGAGCCCACATGGCGTGGGCCCACATGGCGTGAGCCCACATGGCGTGAGCCCACATGGCGTGAGCCCACATGGCGGGAGCCCACATGGCGTGAGCCCACATGGCGGGAGCCCACATGGCGTGAGCCCACATGGCGTGAGCCCACATGGCGTGGGCCCACATGGCGTGAGCCCACATGGCGTGAGCCCACATGG